TCGTATTGCACGAAAACATCGCATTGTTCCCTAGAAAAATCGTATTGGAGCATGTTTATTATGGAATAAATCAGTTATTTCTGGTCGAGATTGAATATGTGTTTTATTTCTCGGAAAATATGATATTGCGCTCCATTAGTCAATATCATATTGTCCCTCGGAATAAAACCCATATTCAATCCCTCCCAGTAAATAACATATATTTGGCTGATACGGGATTCAATACGGGATCTGATACGGGATTTTGGCTGATACGAGATCTGATACAGGATTTTTTGAATATCAATTCTATTCCCTGTTTATTTCAAGGGAAAACATGTTATTATGGAATAAATAAAGGTTATTAATGGGAGGGATGGAATATGAATTCTATTCCGAGGGAAAATATGATATTGACCAAGGAAAATATAATATTGACCTAGGGCGATAGAGTGTCAATATGATATTTTCCGATGCCTTTATCATATTTTCTCAAGGAAAGAATTCATATTCCATCACAACCATCAATAACCTAGTTATTCTATAGTAATTTTCTTAAATAAATAGACATTGACCCTTGGCCTATAAAGGAAATTGACCTCAGGTGACCTTACCCTTGGTCACCAAGGGTCACAGCGCATCACAAGGAATGACATTGACCTCAGGTTACCTAATAATTGATCAACAAGGGTCATTACAGCCCCCGGATGCATTAAAACGCCAAATACCAAGATATTGACCTTTGACCTTGGGATGACCTTGACCAATAAAGTTGACCTTGACCTCGGGTCACTTAATTACGCCAAGGGTCACAGCACAGACCAGGGGTCTTAGAAAGGCAAATTCCTAGATATTGACCTTTGACCTTGAGATGATCCTGACCTTGTATGACCACCGACCCAATTAGTATGATGCCAAAGTATGAGGGCCCAAGATCAACCTGTCTTGGAGCTGGACAGCTAGACAGACCACTGTGCTTAAGTAAGAAGATTATGTTGACAATGTCTCAATTAAGACCAATTTCATTCTTATTAGTCAGTTTGGATTACGATGAGAAAACGCACATAACATTGCATTACGTTCATTAATATGAAACGCAATAACAAAAACACACTTACATTGTCGATGTTCACGACGTAACGCAATGTTTGATTCGTCAGTTGTTAAACGTCAACTTGTAAAAACTACATTCACCATGACAAAAAAAGGTTTCTAATGGTGAAATGGTTAGTCACTTTTAATCCCGATAAGGGAACCCACGTAACATTACATCGTGTTCAGAATTCAGTAGGCTATGACAATAACAAATCCTTTTTATTTCGAAATTGTACGTTAGATTCCAGTAAAAAATTAGGATAGATTCCCATAGAAACGGTGGGTTTGTTAATGGTAGACCAGAAACCTTTAAGGCAGGGCAATAAAATCGCGAGGAGACAGTCATGCCCAATTTGTTTGCTTGCCTTTCCTTGAAAGGAACAAAATCGGTAAAAACCGTTGCCTACGATTGACATTCAAAATTGGATTATGAATGATTTAAAGGCTACAAATGTGGTCGATTTTTACATGATATGGTCGGTATTTTACACATTTTCTTCAAACCCTGTTTTGGGGCTACCAGTGGAAAACACCGGTCAGTGGTCGGCGGGGTAGGTCGCTTTTCGTAAACCCCTTTTATTCTATTGAAAATGTTCCCATCTTCCCAGACTCTCATTGAGTTGCAGTATTAGTATACAGTAGGTGTTTCAAATCGTGAAATGCCTCTGCATCTATCGTTTGTGAAAATGACGCACTTGGACCAATCGATTTATCTCCTCTTTGGTTGTATTGGACTAAGGCATTAACTCTTAACGCCATGGTGCATGTTCGAAATTTTTCTGCATTCCCCAATTGAGTCACATGTTATTTTTCAAACAGGAATCACTCCTTCCACACATTGTCTACATCTTCCAGTTTTGCACAAAGAGTGCATTTATGTGCCTAGGAAAAGACTGGTGAGAAGATTTGTTTTGTAAAATGTATAAAAACGAAAAAATTCAGTGAAAATTTTTTCGGAATTTTCTTGTTTTTATACATTTTATCAAAACATTCTTCTTTGAATTATTTTCTAGGTACATGAGTGCACTCGTTGTGGAAAGGTGAGAGATGTAGACACTGTGGGGAAGGAGAGATTCAGATTTGAAAAATAACATGTGATCCTATTGAGGGTTGCAGTAAGATTCCAAACATGCACCCTGACCTTAGAATATACTAAAATATAGCATAAAGGTCCACAATGCGTATACAAGGCTGTGGTGTGTACGTGCATGCCATTGTCTTTGTATGAGTGCACATATAACAGAGCTCCTTCAACACTAATGCTCACTTCAACAATCAGGCTAGGAACTTTAGAGTAAAAGGCCATATTTGATGGAATGTCACTCTCTTTTTAAATAAACCATTGGATGAATATGAATGATTATCACAAATCAATTTCAATGAGTGGATAAAAATATGATATATCATTCCGAGATACCAAGGGATTAATAACAAAGTACATGTACCAATTTTATGGTATTCCTTTGTATCATACCATATGGTCAAAGCAATATCAGGTTTGTAACGGCAAATGATGAATCACATATTTGGGATCAAGACTGATATTGGGATGATATTAGAATAAGCGGGATGATCTGATGATATCGAGTTGATATACATATCATCCATTATGCAAAGGGGGAGCGAAAGTATCGCAACAGATTTCGGACAGTCATATGTTGGATTTTGGCTATTTTCTAAGGATTTAAACAGGTGCATGTTAGACCAATACATTACCTCCAGGAAAAGCACTCCTAGAGATGATAAAATAATTTCGACTTTGAGAAAGTGAAGATGCAAACTATTTTTATTTTTGTTCCAATGTTATTTCTCATTGTTTGTTTTTTGGTACATATTGCTTTTGACCATAATAAAGTGTCGATATTCATCTATCAGGATGTCGGGGTGATATGAGTAATACTTGGATGATATGAATATCATCCTTGTGATATTCCCTGTCTCAAATCCCTACTACATGCGTAAATAACTACTGACCCCCCACCCCCTTCATCAATTTTTTTTTTGTACTAAAATGTGTCTTGTGGCTATTGAAAAAGTGGTGTGATATTGTTTCTTGCAAAATTGGGAAAACACACATTTAACTCTCTGTTAGGTTTAGGGTTAATATTTGAATTTAATTATAAAAGAGCTAAATACACGAATAATGACTAAAAGGCTCTTATTCAATCACAATTCACTAGATCTTTTTGATATATATTTTAAAAAGGAATGAATGACAAGTATACAGATGATACTTTAATCATTAAGATCCGATAGAAAATAACAATTCTATACCTTTTAACATAAATGAGATAGATTTGACTACTCTGACATTTTTGTGTCAATTATGTCAGTAATGACGTCACAATTGAAACGCTGATGTGCTATTTTGCATAAATTATACTTCATCAAAAAGGAAAAAGCATTACCTTTCATTTGATACCAAATATTAAATTATCTGACGAAAAACGAAAGCGATACACCAAGATAAAACATACCATGAGCCTTCTTTTTGATATTTCTTTCAAAGAGGATCAGTTTCCCTTTTGGAGCTCAATAAAAAAATTTATAAGACCGAAATGGCATATTTTATACATTATTTTAAAGCTGGTGTCATGCTCTTTCAAATGAATATGAAAAACGGAAAAAATACATCGTAATTTTAAATAACGGGACCTTTATATAGGTACACAGCTAAGTTTTATGTTAAAATCTTTTAAAAATTGTCAGTTATGACGTCACAATGGTTATGTAAATGAGCTAATTTGCATAATTCATACCTCATTGTAAAGATATCATCACAAGCTTTCATTTGATACCCATATTATAATTATCTGATAGAAAATAAAAAAAATATATGGGAATACATATTTTATCGTATTAACACTCGTTAAAAGTGGGAGTTATTTATAGCGTCCGTTTCCATGGTAACGGCCCGAGTCAAAATTCTATTAAAGCTCCAATTTGCAATGCATGATATCAGAGCTTTCTGATGGTACCAATATTTTGCTGGGGGTCAGTAAAATATTAAACTCCCTTATTTTAAGGCTTTGGAGGATTTTCCTACTCGTCTATAGACATAATGTTTCCCATTTCCCATATTTTGTCTTGCCTTGACATCATGCTTCTATTTGACATTATGTTTCTCATTTCCCATTTCTTGTTTTGCCTTGACATCATGCTTCTATATGACATTATGTTTCTCATTTCCCATTTCTTGTTTTGCCTTGACATCATGCTTCTATTTGACATTATGTTTCTCCATGCTTCCATTTGACATTATGTTTCTCACTTGTCATGTTGCGACAATGTTACTATTGGACATCCTGTTTAAACAGTTCTAACAGGGGATGGAGAGTATTCGAATGCTGTCACCCGAACTGAGCGTTTTTGATTATGGTATTGAAACATCACGAAAAGTCAGATCATAAGTATTGGAAAAATTCTAACAGCAGTGAGAAAGACTATCATAAGATTTAAAACTCTTGAACCAACTTTAAACCAGGCGTATAATACAATTTTATAAAGTAGTCGGCCACTCAATTATTTATTCAAATAATTTGATTATTACTTTCAAATAAGGTTAGAACATCGCATAAGATGTTGACTTTATGTTCAGGTTTTCAACTGGACAAAGCTCCTCGACAAAGTGGAATCGTGGGCCGTAGGGGTGACCTCGTTCTGAAATGTCGTCAGGGTAATGCATATTTCCGCCTTGATTTCTCTAAAACTTGACTGGGGATATATAATTTTCATGGATTTCAATATAATTTGTAATATTAAGTATGTGCTTGTGTAGTTAATTTCCTGCTTGTACCACAGTGTCTAACTTTTCTTTTGATTAAAAAAGACCGCCTTGGTATTAAACTGCGCAGGTATGTGTTACTCAGAACGATCGATCCTTACTACGATGATTGGCGTGAAGTTTAGTCTGGCAGTGCGCGTGTGTGCTATGTCGCTGTAACAACATTCAGTCATTGTGCGCTCTCAAAGGCTATCATCACAAACTCATAATAGCATTTTTCCACACTTGGGTATGTAGGACAAAATAAGCTTAAAATAGCAAAATAAACAACGAGATTTGCCTCTGGGAACTGTTGACCGACGGAACAATTCTAATATTTACGTCATTCTTCGGCTTGATTTGCATAGTTAGTGAAATGCAAATTGTAGGCACTGAACGACCCTAGAACCTCGCATATTGGATTTAAAGTTAACACCTAGATAATGTTTTATGAATATCCATCTTGGGAACTTAGCATAAAGTCAACTTGAACAGCGTATTGAGAAATGAAGAATAATCATGAGGTGAAAATTGAAGAAAATGATTTGGAGTTTACTTGGAAAACAGAAACAACAAAATAAAGGTAAGAGATTGATTTTCATCTCGGCGCTGTTAACCATCATTTTTGGTTTTTGTACTTGATCTGTTATTTATAAAGTGTTATTATGGAAAAATTTTCTTCGACGGGAGGTAAATTAAAAGCACAAATCAAATTCATTACGAAGGACTTTATATAAAATATTTATTTAATTAGATGATATGATTTTCGAATTCGCCGTAAGTTTGTGGGTGATAGACGGTTGAAAAAAATGATCGTGGTTTTAATATGCCATGTGTTACAACACGTTATACAAGAGGTTAGTTTAGAAATAACCTTTCTAGACACGTATAGCAAGCACTCTAATGAGAAATCAAACAGCCTACGAATTCTTGAATAAAAGTACACACGCACTTCGACTCCAATGTACCATTCCAATTTGAAATCACAATAATATCAAGTTAATGATCAGATTCGCTCATAATTTTATTTCAATAATGTTCGTATTACTTTTACATTGCCGAACGAGATTAATGTGAAAGAAGGGTGGATGGTTTGCTTTGTGAGTGAGGGGGTTTAGATATCGGGCTAAAGTCGACCAGAGTCTTCCAAGAAAATGGAGTTGAAGGATGGACACATCAAATCAATAAACCTACTCTTAGTTGTGGCACTCAAGTGGAAATTCTAAGAGTCATTGAAGAGCACCCCGGGAGAGTCAAATCGGACAATACATTGCAGGGGATATTCCCGGGGAAACACTCGGGGATAAATGTAACGCGAGTCATAGATTGAATATTCGAAATAGAGTGCAAATATTGAAGAATTCAACGAAGAAAAGGATGAAACATAAAGTTCATTATTTATTATGTTCAAATGCGCAAAGTGAAAAATTGAATTCAAATATCAAGAAATATAACATGAAAACATGATCCAAGAGATGGTATTTATATCGAGGGTCTCTCTGTATCATGTATTCTATGAACAAGCACTTAAAAGTACTAAACTGAACAAGCAATGTTTGCGCTTTTATTGTTACGCGGATAATTCCGTAACTTCTTTCGATAGATAATCTATTTTTTCTTGAAGAATCTCAAGAAGTATATTATACTGAATAATTTCTAAGATTCTAACCTAAATGTAATTCGTGGGTAACAAAATTATTTATTAATTACTTAATCTCCATTGCATGTTTAAAGAACGTGCCCCGTGCGACGTTTTATTCACGGGGAATCGACAAAACTTTCATGGAACCAATACAGTTTTGGAATGTCAAGAGAGTGTAGAGTCCGCAACCGGACTAAGTGTGGTAGGATTATACCTCTCTAGAGTGGGGATTACTGTAGCTCGCCCCTGGATTAACTGACCCGAGCACTGCCTGATATTCAACCATTTTTATCTCTAGTTTTGATAGTCTTCGCGTGCACTTCACAAGTGCCTTTGTAAAAAAAGTGGCATTAATTCCGTGATACATTACAAAATGGTGGCGTATCCATCCTACATGCGTAAAATTGAAGATCAGAACTCAAAACAGTTGTGCTGAAACAATTATTTTAGAGCTAAATAAATATTTTAATGTTCAAGCAGAAAAAAATCCGTTCAGTTTGTTTCGACACATTATGGCTGAATAAATGGCGTTCGTATGTTCATATGCAGTACAGTGTTATTGGAAGTGAATAAATGGCGTTCGTATGTTCATTTGCAGCACAATGTCATTGGAAGTGAATAAATGGCGTTCGTATGTTCATTTGCAACACAATATCATTGGAAGTGAATAAATGGCGTTCGTATGTTCATATGCAGTACAGTGTTATTGGAAGTGAATAAATGGCGTTCGTATGTTCATTTGCAGCACAATGTCATTGGAAGTGAATAAATGGCGTTCGTATGTTCATTTGCAGCACAATGTCATTGGAAGTGAATAAATGGCGTTCGTATGTTCATTTGCAACACAATATCATTGGAAGTGAATAAATGGCGTTCGTATGTTCATTTGCAACACAGTGTCATTGGAAGTGAATAAATGGCGTTCGTATGTTCATTTGCAACACAATATCATTGGAAGTGAATAAATGGCGTTATTATTTTTTTTCTAGCAGAATAAATGGTTAGTTGCAACATATTGGGTTGTTTATGACCAGGTTTACCCCCCAGTAGTATTGACTCTGGTAGAGTGTTTGTGCTCCTTTCACTGGATCTTATGTTGGTATTAAATACTTGTTTATTGACTGTACTTGGAAAATCCCATTCTTCCAAACGTTCAATGAGTTATTCTACAAATAATCGGTGCCAAGGGGAAATGTTCTTGTAGATGTTTTGAAGTGTAGATCGTTGTTTCATCCTTATTGGTAATTTAAGATATCGAGACATAGCGTCCAAGCTTTCTTGAACTGACATGGCAGAAAGAAATCATAATGGGGATGATATGAAAAGTGTCTAATGATGAAAAGTATGAACAAATAGGCCTATTAAAGTATGCTTTCTCAACTCTTAATTAGTAACTGATTAAAACAATACACTGGGCAACATGTTGCTACTGATTCTTCATTAGATATCCATGGGCTTTCAAGAACCCATTTTGGAAAACTAATTTTATTTAGAAAATTGCTTTCTTTTTCAAAGGGACCAAAGCATTTTTTCTCTTGTTATAACGATGAACCAAATGTTCTCACATCATTATCACCATCGTCATCATCAGCGTTGCCATAGCAATATGCAACACTAATCTAAATATAGTCATTCTGGATGAACATTTATGGGAAAATCTTTGAAAAACACTTCATCTAAAGCAAAATTGTGCAAGCTCCAAATGTTGCCAAATATGAGTTTCAATTTATTTTAATAAGGAACACAATACAGTATATTGTCAGTGTTCGAATGGAAACAAGCGTGATCATAATCTGTTTGTTATTTTAAGGTTTTTGCTAACACTATATTTGTGTGGAGGTTTGTTTGGAATGTTTTCTAAAATAATATCTCAGTCATAATGAGTCAATGGGACACTTTACTCGGGTCCTTATTTGATCCCTCTTGCGGGGGAAACGTTATATTGAATATCATTCAGAAAAAGAACTATAGTCCCGTTTGTGATAACGGGGACAAATGACGATATTTAGGGTCTCCGGTTCAACCGACATTCCCAATCATTTTTCTGGTTTATTTAGACGATGATTATGAGTAGTGTACAATTTTAACTCTCTCCAAATGTAAATCTCTTCCTATACATTTATATTGTTTAAGAGTGACAAATATAGCACTGGTCTTAAATTATTCACGACATTGGGGACATTCACTTGCCATAAATAGCTAACCCTCTCTAACGCCAAGTTTAAGTGCAGTGCCTGGTTTTTCTAAAGACTTATACAATTTACAATCAGTTATAAATTATACTTCACGGTATCAGTTGTTGATTTTCGATACGTTTCTTTTAATTTACTAAAACATTTTTGGTTTTGTGGTTATGATGATTGACTGTGACCAGTTGACATTGAGTCACCGTGTCACTTCTCGTGACACCATTGTAATTTACTATACAATCACGTGATCTGTGATGTCATTCTAAGTTGAGGACACTTTCGAGAGTACTTTTGAGAGAATGTGCCAAATACTTAATCCCTACAATATTGCCATAATGAACATTAACAATTTCTATTCAAAAGCTAGATTATAGCGAGTTCATTTCTCAAATTTGTGTTTATAATTGAAGAAAACTAATATCAATTATTTAAGTCAATGCAAGAACATAAAAGTAGATCCACCATTCTCAGTGCTTGACATTGTCCTTGAATATGAGACGAAAGGCCGGGTTCTCTGTGATGGGATGAAATTTCGTTATTGGGGAGGGAGTTCTATACACTTTCAAAACTTAAGGTTTTAAATATGATAAATACACATTGGCCAAAAACAAAATGACTAACATCACGTTGGCGTTTTCAATAAAAACATACATTTGAACGCTTTCGCAGTACTCAATTTTTCTGGAATATCATTGCTACTTAATACCCATACCCAATGGTCATATTCCATTGATATAAGTGTTACGATCGATTTCCCTCTGTGAAACACTGGGAATAAAATGTCGCAAATAATGTTTGAAGTGACTTGAGTCAATATTGACGTTTAGCAACAAACTAGGAACTTCGTCTGTTTATAAAAAGTGACAGACATCAAACTTACTAACTGTTCATTAATTCATGACACGAAACAACGATATCTACTTGAAACGAATATCCCCGAGTTATTAATTTATTTCACTTTGTAGTAGGACAATGTGTGCATGCGCGGAACCAACACTTCATCTGATCTGGCATTTTCCACATGTTAGCCTGTTTTCATCGAATGATTTATCAGAGTTCACTTAATTACGTGACTATTGTCATAGTACTTCTCATCCCTTTCTGTTTTTGCGCAAAAGTAGACGAGGAAGCAGACGACATCGTTAATGACGTGAGCTAAAACTTCAGAACAACGCTCAATGCAACATATTATGTCAACTTGTCTGAATTCATTAGCTTATAAACTTGAAACCTGAAGCATCATGGGACTATAGGGAATAATTATATTTTCATGTAAATGAGACGGTGGAGTAATTACGTGTTTCATAACAGTAAAGATTGTATTCAAAAATACACATTGATGCTCATCATTGTCTCATCGTTCTCAACTAGCACATACATAACAATGATTGAGGTGAAATAAGATGACATATGGTGTATCTGGGTGAAATTAATCCTTTTAGATAGATTGTATTCGGACAAAAAAAGTTGCAAACAGTCATGGGATAGATTAAAAGAGGAAACTTTAGCTTTGTGCATTGCGCAGAATCACGATTGCGCTTGGGCAATCTAGTCTATCTATGAAGGTATCATCTCAAAAATCACTTTCAAAACTTAAGGTTTTAAATATGATAAATACACATTGGCCAAAAACAAAATGACTAACACACATATGTTTTTGATGGTAACATTTTGCCGGAGGCCCTTGAAAAAACACATGTATTCAATTAACAAATTGTTTAATTGGTGCATTCTGGTGATGTGATTGCAGTG